ACTGTGTGAACGAAGAGACCCATTCGCCCGTTTTCTCATTGAAAATAGATACATTTCAAAATATCACTGTCCTGGTCACAAAAGCAAAGTTTGTGGGGAATAATAGGCATTTCCTATACTTTTTAGGCATAAGCAATTACGAAATAACACTTACTACCCAGGAACAAAAATTGTGTTGCATCGTGTAATTAACAGATCTCGGTGGGTTCCTACCTGGTTATATAAAGGCTAACGTTTCAGGCAACTACTCTTCATCAATAATTGACATAGGGACAGATAGATGACAAACATTTCCAAGTACAGATAATTATTTTACTGTGTTCATGGTATTTCGATCACATTCAAATACAGCACTAGCAATTGCTCTAATTACACCATTAAATGCAAAAAAGCATTACGCAACAACGCAAATGATTAACAAGTGAAAGTGTTCTGCATCAAAGGTTATGATTTGAAAGGCCACTTGCAAAGGGAATGATGCATGCACACGTAGTGTAACCTTTAACACTATTTTGAAAAGCCACTTAGCAAATTAGTCTTCCCTTAATTTTAGATGTACTTTTACCAATTATTTTTTAATTGTGCTACTTACATCTCGCAGCACCGCAAAGGTTGCCTTTCACAATCCCCACGACCGCCTTCTATTAAGGGCAACAGTCTTGACTTTAGAATCTGCCCAACATCCATGAAGGAGCTTTCTAATGCAAGCAATTTCAACCCTCGCTTCATCTGTGCTCGTGTGCCAAGTGAAGTCCTCGTCGGTTTTGTTTTGTAGAGAAATCCGGGTTTCATTTCTGGTGGAACGTGGCATTTGAAACCGGAATCTCAACGGCACCAGTTCCAGTGGTTCTCTTCCACGGGTTGGGGACACACTTTCGTGTTCATGAGCCATTCCTCGTTCCTCAAATTGAGGTTTTCCTTCACTTTGTTGCAGGATCGATTTGTGCAATTTCACGTGAATGCATCGAACCCATTTCTACCAAAAACTAGCTTCATGCGGTTTGAATTCCTTCGTACGCGGCTGGACATGGAAACGCCATTGTGTGTGTGCTCTGTATTTGCTACTCAGCAGGCAGCAATGTCGTGAGGTTTTCCTTTGTTCGCCATTTTCTTGAAATGAATCTACTCCCGCATAAAGTGACGTAAACCTGCATCTAAAAATATCATTTCCACACGCACGTGTTCTTGCCCTCCCCCAACCCGTTTAATCGGCATCAAACTTGAACCATCTTTGTGTTTGCAACCCTTCGTAGCGTTGAACTGATGTTCACCACATACCAGATAACTTTCCACCAGACCAATGAAAATCAGTACTCTAGGCACGGAGCTCACAAAATCCAGAGCCGTTGACCCCTGCCTCAAACCAAGCCCCCCCCCCCCCCCCCACGATAATCGGCACCTCTCTCAACCTTTTTCATTCCAGGGCACACTTTCCAGCTATCTCGATCTTTGCGGCGTACCAAACCAAAAAACAATCACTGCGGTGGGCCTGGATGGGTGTCGAGAGGGCCGGTGGTGGGCGCTTAACGGCTGTCTCCTGCCGTACTGCGCCGTGACCAGTGGAGTGCGCAGAGACGGTGGGAGGCGAGGGGTGGGGGTGGCTGGATAGGCCACTGAACGGCACAGAGAGGTCCGTCTGTCCCAGTTTGCAAACAGAGATATTTTCACCCCGATAATTCCGAAAATACCACAGGCACAACCTGGGACTTTCTCACAGCACGCCGGTTACAAAGCTCTCCTAATGTCCAGCGTGCAGAGCAAAGGGCTGCTGCTGCTGCTGCCTTTTACCACGACAATACACCAGCATGAACTCACAAAACTTAGCTGCGGTAGACTTTGGTCATTCTTTTAATCATACATTTTCCACGTTTTATTCGTTGCGAAGGCAGCATGGCCTAGGTTTTTTCACTTGCCACACTTGAATGCGATCGAGTTTTAATGAGACATCCACAAATGGTGGGGGGTCCCCCTTTGATGGCCCGTGAGCAATTCTGGTGTCTTGACAAACCAAATTCACTGTTTTGAATCACCTTTTTTTGCTCAAAGAAGTACCGGCTCATCAATTAAGATTGTTTTGAAAATTAAAAGAATGAATAAGGAAATGTGTATATCCTGCATGTATCATACAGTGCTCAAGACTAGCGAATAAATACGCTGCACATGACAATTCCAATCCAATCAGACGGCTCGAATCAGGATGCAACTGTGGAACCCACGTTGATAAATCATATTGGCGACAGTGTGATGTTAAAGAACACCAACTACGCATTGGGAATATGGGAAGTTTTTAAAAACATTGATTTTAATAAGTTATTGTTTCCAAATCATTCGTGGAATCTCGGTGATTTACAAGTGACTTTTGCAAGTGACAAAACCCAGGCTATACCGATCTCACACAGACTGGAGTCTGGCTGGCTGGTGCAATAACCCCCGATCGGTACCGTTTGTTCCAAATTATTATCAAGAGAGACCGAGGGTTAAAGATTACATTTGTTTCAACACCATTCAGCGCCCCCCCTCACTCCGACACAATAACCTTACACCGGACAGTGACCCATAAGTGCCTGATTATTATTATTCATATTTAAACGTTAACAACAATGTTTGATGACGTACCTTTGAACGCATTTAGGGGTATTTCCTCTCAACGGTGCTAAGACAAAGTGCTGTGCGTGAACTCGTGCCAGTCGCCTGACACTCGTGCAGCAAAGGCTGCCGGGGTAGCTTTTAAGTGTGTATAGAGGTGGTGTTCACACATTCTGCTGTTTTACCCCCCAAAGTGAATGGTGGTGGACGGTGTAAACAAAGACAGGGAAACACATATCACACAATAAGAGTAATTTGGGCGAGATCGCTTGAATATAAATGTGTCATTAAACCCGAAATGCCACTGTACTCGAATTGTAAATGTTGTGGGTTTACTCTCCAACACATCGGTGTGCTGTACTAGTAACAAATTGGCATGTTCTGTTTACGTGACAAACATTACTAATTGGCTGTGTCGTGTGGTGGCGGGTTTAACGACACATTTATAGTTACGCGATCTAACCCAAAAACCCTGTATTATGGATACTATTGGTCGCGAAAGCCTACGTGTTAAATATCACACAACATTAGCAATGTCTATGGCCACGCATCTCATATATACAGCTTACATATACAGTGCTTGAACAATGATCGTCATGGTTATACAAAGTCACAACATTATTTTACATATGCTATGAACACTAACATTAACCTCTGCCTTGAGCGTTACTGACGGCACTGTTGCACATGCGTACAGGTGACTCGTATCGATGGCGAGTTACAAATCAATGAAACACAACTTTCCGAAAGAGAAAAATCCTGAGAAGAAACGATTTACGTACGCGTGTTCCCCGAGCACACCGTGAGGCGGTATTGTAACAAAAAGAAAACAAAGGTCTCTCTGCACTCCAGGTTTAGTTCGCGCAAAGCGGCATATTCCTGGTCGACTGCTCGAGGTTGATCGATCGGATTTTCCTGCTCTCACACCTGGAGGAGCCCGATGGGCAACACATTCGGGCGCAATTCCCAGAGAGTCCTCCAATGAGGGGGGGGCAAAGCTAAATTAAGGAGAGAGTTTTTGGTGATTTTAATAGTTTTCCGAAAAACCTCATGCCAACAATTCAGTGCCAGATTATCCTAGTTGCAAAAGTAGCTAGCTACAACACGTGTAGTAGCTACAACACGTGTAGTAGCTACAACACGTGTAGTAGCTACAACACGTGTAGTAGCTACAACACGTGTAGTAGCAACACGTGTAGTAGCTGCATAAGTAGTAGCTGCATAAGTAGTAGCTACGGGCCCCAAACTTTCAAGGGCCCAGCGCTATAAATGCTTTCAAGCTATCAATTCCGGTTCAGTGATTCTGCACTTGCTCTATTACGATGGTACTATACTGCCTTCAACTTTTATGAGCGACTGGGTGTTTAAGGTTAGCGATTTGTCATATTATCTGGCTGTACAGCAAATGAAACAATACAATTACTTTACTATGCAAGTTAAAAATCTGTGTTTTAATGTTTTATTTTTATTTAGGGCCCCTTCATTTATAACATTTCCTACAGGCCACGCACTAGCTTCATCCGGCACTGCAACAATTTCAATTCAACAAAAGTGCACCATTTAATACTGAATCGATAACTTTGTTACAACACAAACGGGAAGCTATATTCTGTCGAGGCCGATCTAAATGCATACGCACAAATCTCTCACTTCTTGAGACCTCACTGCAGCTCAACTCCTCTCACGCCTCCTGCTTAGCACCTTGCTGGCTTTGGCTACGTGGCCCACATGGTCAAGCTACAGTGCGCATATTATGGATGCTGTGATAGTTCAGAACGTGGCTCAAAATATTAAACCAGATTCTGAATCGTCCCGTTCATAATCATTTGGTCATAAGATACCGAAAATGTTGGCTGCAATGACCAGATGTTCCAATCCCTGCTTTGTGCTTACTGTTGGGGATGGTTGCTCTTGGGCAACACTCGTCAGGTAGCTGTGGTGCTGGTAGTTGTGTTGCCGATAATGCCGGGAGTGTTGATGTTGTTGCTAGATGTTGTGGTGCTGTTAATCGGTGGTGCTAGTGGTGGTGTTGATGCCGATGGCAGAGGTCGTGCTCGTGTTAGTTGTTGCAAGTGCTGGTGGTGCTGCTTGTGGTCGGTAGTGCAGGAGATAGTAGTGCTAGTGGTGCTGCCGATGGTGGAGGTTGTGGTAGTGCTGATGGTATTGGTAGCCCTCATTAGGTGGTTGGTAGCGCACGAGGTACTGGTGGTGCTATTAGTGCTGGCTTTAAATTTCGATTTAAAGCTTTCGTGACTGCAGGGATTCATCTTCTTGGTTCTTTCGGTAAAGTCACGTAGAATGGAAATAATAAAAGAAAAAATATATAAAACATAATAAAATGTTATTATGTAAATTTTTTATTATTTTATTATTTCCATTCTACGTGACTTTACCGAAAGAACCAAGAAAGTGCTGGCTTTGGTTATTATTGTGATGCTGATGTGGAATTGGTTGTGGCACTGGAAGTGCTGGTGTTAGTGGTTAGTAGTGTGTTGCGGTTTGTAGTGCAGGACGTACTGCTGCTAGTGGTGGTTATGGTGTTGATGCCGATGCTGTCGACGGCGCTGGTGTTATTTGTTGTCAGCGGTGCTGGTGGTGAGAGTGGGTGGGCGCCGGTGTTATTTGTTGGCAGCGGTGCCGGTGGCGGTGAGAGTGGTGGGCGCCGGTATTATTTGTTGGCAGTGGTGGCGAGAGCGGCGAGGGGCTCCGGCGCCGCTTTGGGGGCCCACGTGTCGTCAGGGCAGGTTGATGCCGTGCTGCTGCAGTTTGGAGCGAGCGGCGCCCGGGAGCCGGTAGGTGCCGTCTGCGAAACCGGGCCCGACCATGCCGCTCCGCTGGGACGGGCTCACCTGGAAGAACACCTCCTGCGCCGGCGTCTGGGCGCCGTACACGCACGCCGTGCTGCTCCTGGGTCACAGCGCGCCCAACCGGGAGAGGGGTGGGGGCGTGCAGCGTTTAACGTTTCGTTCTAATGGCAGCGCGTGAAGATGAAGGCGCGGCCCTGTAATGACTTGGTCTCGGCCACTGCTGGCAGAAGGGTCTCCACTAGAGGGAGCTCGCGAAGGGATAGTGACCCACTCTTCCACACTGGCCAGACGTCTTGGAAGAGGTAGGAGTACCCATATTTTACCCCATCGCACAGTTGCTGCCATATGAATATACTTGCCCCGGGCACAGGGATGTGGAATTTCCGCCACTGCCTCAGTGTGAAAAAGGAGACTAGCACCATCCTACACTTGTGTTTGAGCGACAAACCATTTTATGTTTTTGGTAGAGTAACTCGCGATTTCTTCCGAACATTTATAACTGCTCGGGCTAGCTGCCCAAACCAGTTCTTAATGCCAGTTCAGTGGCATGAGCTTCACGCAACCCCAGAGCACAATGCCCCACCGACTACCTGAGTGTTATCTCCGTGATGGCTGGAGAACGTCGGAACTCGGAATGCATGAGGGAGGCAGCACGGCACAGATCCCGCTCTGGCGTGGACGCACCTGTGCAGACACAAGCAGAGCAGAGGGAAAGATGCCCCTGTGTAGCCAACTCACACTTGTGGGATAAGTGCTGTTCGCGAGAGCCAATGAAGGCTGGAACAGCACACAATGGGGTGAGGAGGCGAGCACCATGTCCAGCCACCTTTGTCTCCACGGTGGTGATGCTTATTACACACTGCACATTTTAGGCTCAGTCGACCTAGGGGAGGCCCACGATCGGTTCACATATCACCGATGTTCACTGCGAGCGAGAATCGAACTCTGGTTGCCGGGTTTATATGGCAGTGCGCTGACACTACGGCTACTGCTTCGCACACGTACGTACATACATATACAAAGATCCCCCGTATAGCCTTGACAGACTGTAGGGGCAAGTGCTGTTAGTGCGTACATATACGCACACACTCACACACAAACCTCCCTAGTGGCCACTTCTATGGTAAACTAGACTCCCATATTAAACTAGACTTGTAAACTGGACTTCCATGGTCAACTGATATTCTATGGTAAAATGGACTCCCATGGTGAACTGCAGATGCCTGGATATCGCACGCACAGGCGTACACAAGTATAAACAGATGAACGCGCACGGCCGAGTCTGCACACACACACACACATGCGCGCGCATGAGCGCACACGTGCAAAAACGCATCCATTTCGCCGATGTCTGCGCGCTGTCATTTTCACGAAACGTCACGCGCGCGCATGTGAGCGTGTGAGCGTGCGCGTAGCCTCTGCCGGTCTGCTTGATCGGTGGTGACGTGACCCCCCGCGTGGCTCGGACGCTACCCCCGCTGCGAGCGACGCGTCGACTTGGACGTGCACCCCCTCCCCCCCCCCATGCAGGAGATCAAATTGGCAAATAAAATCTCAATAAATAAATGCAGATGCACGGCGATCACACGTCAGCAGCGGACGCAGCGATGGCAGATGACATTTCACACGCCGTACAGTGTCACACGTACTCTCCATTTTCACACGGCGTCTTGAAATTTAGTTGCGTTTGCACGCCATTTCAATCCAAATTGGATTGGATTTCTTAAATCATATTTTTACTGCAAGCTTGCTCATAGATAATAAACACAATGCATGTACAGTTGCGTATGATAATTCAATACCGTAACAGCCCACTGAGATACAAAATTATTTGCAAAGAAGATCGCGGTAAAAATATTCATCTTTCTAAGATATTCGTGTTTAAGTCAAATACAAAATGTGAAACTTAATATTCACACTGCTAAAAAAAAATCTTTCTATGGGATAATTGCAATCAGAGGTTAAGCTACCTCCTCGTTAATTGCATGATAATCAAATTACAATGCAAAATGCAAATGGCTGACTAAAATGTTAATAGCTCGGCATTAGAATGGACACGTGAGACAAAACTGACATGAAACAACAATGCATCAATTATTTGATTAAAATAGATAATTATATTCATGACACACATATGGAAGATAAACGAATCTATTATTTACGATTCATGCAAAGTTGATGCAAATAATGTGCAAATGCACCCGAGGGCTCGGGTAACGATTGAGACAGAAAACAAGAGGCAGCGCAAAAAAAGAGGCAAAGAATATATACACAAACAATACAGACAAAAGAGCGACAAAGAATAGATTTTGTGGTGGTCCATTGTCACACACCCACAGGCGTTGTGACCGATATAAACGTTGCACCCGTGGGGGTGGTGACACACATGTCAAGTGATTTACGGAATACTTTTTATTCAGATTTAGATATATGTTATACATGAAATGTGTCGATGATTTGACTCATCGTTGATTTTTGGCTTTAGGTCAAATTATGTTCTGGCCAAATATGGGCCATCACGACCCTCCACCAGCAAACACAGCTGAACAAATGCAAATGTCACGCGGCGTACAAGCGTTCAACGCACAAAGTATGTAACTTGTTGACCCGCCCCCCCCTATTGGACATCCGTGACGGAGAGAGCTCCAGAGGTCATCGGATTCCTCCAGGATAAATACAGATTCTGAAAGTGTTATCTCGTTTCAGCTCACCGGTAAGTTGAAGAACAATTCTCACAACAATATGAGACCTTCTTTATCAGTGGCAAAATATAGTAATAGGTTTTTACCCTTTCAACTAGTACAAAACTAACACTTTTATACAAGGGATCATGTTTGCAATAACCACAACACAAGCAGTCAAAATGCAAACAAAAAGAAACATTTAAGCTGGGTTGGAGGGGGAAGAGCGCCTCGACAAAAGCTTAAATATACGCTGCCAAGCCTGGTGGTGTTCATTCAGACACTGTCTTTCCGACAGACCTGTTCTTCACCTGAGGACGGCTGCTTGCGTTGTGGCCGAAACGTCGTGAGAATTATTTTATTATGTTTTATTTTTATTATTTCCCTTCTACGTGACTTTACCGAAAGAACCAAGAAGATGAATCCCTGCAGTCACGAAAGCTTTAAATCGTCAAGGATTACTCGCAACGTTACTCGATCGGGAAACGAAGCGACTGTCACCCCCCCAACACAGCGAAAAACCTAGGACGTTTGGAGGGAAAGAAAAAAAAGACTCGGTGAGGATTTCCTGAATTTGTGTAACCATGATAATGATAAGAAAATAAGGGATTACGCCCCTTTGTATGTTTAGAGAAATATCACTTCATAATCCCCCCCCTCCCCACAGCTATTTGACCCAAATACTGCCCTCCAGCTCAGTGCAAAGGTGTTTAGTTTTGCATGGCTTCGACATTTGTCCATATTTGGCCGGCAATGTCCTTCCATGCCAACAAAACAAAATCACGAATGCACATCGACAGGGACAATATGGCGTTTGTATTCAGGTTGATGGACACAACACTAAACCAAACAAATCAGCTGGCAACTATCCCAAATTCAGCCGCCTTGCAGACTCTTAGGGAAAACGCTGCGAGCTGGCCTGGGACACGGAGGGGGCGATTGCGGCCGAAAAACACAATTCCGTACCTTGGTCTTTCCCAGTGCTCGTGTCTTACGCATTGCACAAAGTACTCACTCGAGGCCGAGGTTCCCCAGAGGGATGACCATGACAGGTGCAGATGCCACTTTCCACAAACGATATCAAATGACCGGGAATTGAAGCGAGTGCACCGGCTTCAGAATGCATTGTGCGCAATCCACTGCAGTGCCGTTGAGCACACAACAAACACGCAGATCCCCCCCCCCCAATGTGACCTTTAACAGACTGCTGGGGTGTTATTTGGGAGCACCGATGAAGGCCGGCACAGCACCACGAAGAGGTGGGGTGGCCAACATCACACTCGGCCACCTCCGTCTCCCCGGTGCTGATGTTTTACACCGCAACAGTTACTCATTTAAAGGCTGAGCCGACCTAGGAGATACCCAAACCACAGTGCTGCTACACGTGCTCACTTGCACAGTAAACATGGGCACCACTCCAAGAACGTACAGTACTTAAATGCATGCACAGTTATCTCGAGATACCCCCTCTTAGCCATCGTATGCCTGCGTGCCAAGTACTGCTGGCATGTGCCTATTACAAATGTCACGGGGACACCCACGGGTAGCGGAGCCAGAGCCGATCCAGACGTGTCAGAAGCTGCTGCTGACACACGGAACCAAATATTACCTGTCCAGTAGAGCGGCGCGCATTAGTGCTGTGTCGGTGTGCGCTGCTGTGCACGGCTAGGAATTCAACCTCAATAACATCACCGCTCGGATGAAAGCAACAATGCTTTGTTCACATCACCAATGAACGCAGCCTGCACGGCATGCAAAGACAAAAGATCTCCCATATGGCCTTAACATACTGTTGGGGCAAGTGCTGTTAGCGAGCGCCTATGAAGGCCGGAACGGCACACGAGGGGGTGGGTGGGCCAGCACCACGCCCGACCGGCCTTTGTCTCCTCAGTAGCGATGTGGTTTACACACCGCATCAAGTACTCATTTGAGACCGAATAGACCTAGGGGAGGGGCCCAGGACCGGTTCAGATATTCGTCACTGGTGTTGGCCGCGAACGGGAATTGAACTCGGGGCGCCGGGAATCGAACTCGGGGCGCCGGGTTCATAGCGCAGCGCGCTAACCGCCACACTACCGCTCACCACGCACAAGCGTGCGCAGTCGCACACACACAAACACACACACACACTCAGGTAGTGCTAAACCTCAAGGAAGACAACGACCGAACCCTGCCAAACAGATGGACCCCTCCGCATGTCGACACCATGGCACAGACAATTTTCTATTGAGTCCAGGTTGGGCGGGTTGGGGAGGGGGGAAACGGTTTCGGAACCTTGCATCCCTCCGCTCCCCAGACGCAGCAATTTGTTTCCTTCCTTTGGTGGAAGACAACAACAAAAAATGAGAGATGGAACCCAAAGAAATATGCTCCGTGAACAGCCCCCATACCCTCAATCCATGCCGCTCCTAATTATACCAAACGTGGATTTCATGGTGTGGAGTTCTCCCCGAGCCCTTACATTTCCAGCTTTTGATGTGCCCTTAATGAATCCATAACTGAAGAGTGCAAATTAAAGTAATTAGCACGTGCAATAAAAAAAAACACCCAGCGTGCATTTGTATGACATTTATCCGAACCACTTCTCTGCCTCAAATTAACAGCTTCCGTAGCTTCCAGGCAGCCAACACTTGGCACAGGGAAACAATGGCTCAGTGTGGATCTCACGACTGGCAATCATGACAGTCGAGTGCCGATTGGCTTGCTCTCAGCATACTCAAAGCTAAGAAATGTAGCAAATCCACTACGATACACGGCCAATCTGGTGGCTCGTGCTCTGACGCGCAATTCGTTGACCACGATTCATTGCGTTCGACTTAAAAGCAACATGGGTTTGCAGACCGGGGGGTACTATTTATTGTTCATCAGAAGCATGGGGCGCAGAGTAATGATTCACCCCCTCCGCGATTTGATTAATTCTCACAATTAGGGGCGACGATTCAGTTCATTCCGTCTCATTTGTAGTCTATGCACATTTAGAGCCCTCAATCGATTCGCTGATGG